GTGGCATGCAACATGCAATACTGGGAGGGTGTACATTTAAATGTTAATACAATTGTCTGGTATAACATTACTTCAGTACACATGACAATGGCATGTCTTGCTGCCTACCCCCATCCTATTCTGGTTTTAATAGAGCTGGATTGCACAGTATCTCTATTTCCTGGGTTGTTGTTTAAAAGAAGCATATACATTTGATGTCCTAATGATGTAAACTGACTGAATTAACTAGAAGAGTATGTTCCTTTCCTTGGCTACTCTCCCTCTCTCTGTAAAGTAGGAATTTCCTTTCACACACTCAATGCATGCAAACAAAATGACTACTGCAAAGAATGTAGACTAACTTACATTACCACAAGATAATAAATAGATCAAACATCTTGATGTACTGTATTTTAATTCTTGTAAAGATTTTTTCAACAGCATAACAACACTGTAGTACATAAATCCAGATAGTAAAATTACTAGAATGATAATGTTATTACAGATTATTTATGCATCTATCCCTCTTCTCCCACACTGTAGGATACTTGTAAGTACATGTTCCAATACTTTTCTAATCATCCAGGACTTTACTAGATCAGTTCACATTGTCCCCAAGGGCCAGGATCCTACTGAAACACTACCCAGTTGTGCAAGCAGGTTGTACTTTCTTCAAGGTTCTGTTAAGAAGACATCCATTAGCTCCAAATGATACTCTAGTGCCTGGGTGCATGGGCATAGTTCCCTTCTCAGGAAATCTTAGAAGTCATTAACTGGCCTGCCAGGAAGCTGGATGCTGGAGTTGCCAGCAGTACCACTGTCAGGCTGGCAACTTCCATCTTTCCTTTCCACATCTGCTTTCCACCCTCCAAATCTATATAAGTACTCCCGCAGGATTTTCAACTCCACTAGTGTTAAAACTGCATTTCAGCCCAAGAAATCCATAAACCATATACAAGAGCACTGTCTCACTTCCCCTGTACTACACTAGTAGTACCCTATTGTAGTATGCCACTTTCCCTGGTACACTGGGAAAATCCAGCCCCTCCTCTTGTTCCACTTCATGAAAACTAAGATTCATGCATTAATCATTTGCTGTTTTGAATACTAAAACTTTCTTTTCTCTGGTCCATTGTTGCTACATGGCTGCCTCTCATCTCTGTTGACAACCCTGCCTCTCTCATGATTCAGACCACACATAAACCCTAAAACTGGCCTCCTTCCAGACTATGCTACAGCCTGACCAAGTTCCTTGGGCTTACATCAAAAAGCCTACCATGGCCTTGCCTGCTCATCCTGCTGTCCACATATTCCTTTCCTAAGGTCTCTAATCTGCCAACTCTACCACTCAGCCTCCCAAATGTCACCAGCTGCAGCTCCTTAAAATTACTTATCACTGTCATTCTCTTTTGGCTGGAAGGATTCTCTTTCCCTTCCAATCCTACTTCAGACCAAATCTCTTCCACAGAGTCCCTTCTAAAATTTAACTGACAGACATCTAAACACAACTAGATATATTAGCCTCTTATTACTTTTCACTTGCAGCCCTCCAGTCCTTGAAAATATGAAATGTAAGATCCCTTGAACAGAAGCCCATTTTTCTGCTTATTTTGTTATTTATTTATTTATTTATGAAATTTATATCCTGCCATTCTCCCAAAATGGAATTAAAGACGGGAGAGCCAGCATGGCACAGTGGTTTGCATGTTAGATGATTCTGGAGACCAGGGTTCGAACCCTGGTTTGGCCATTAAACTCACTGGGCAAGTTACACTCTCTCAGCCTCAGGGGAAGGCAATGGAAAAATTCCTCTGAACAAATCTTTCCAAGAAACCCTATGAAAGGTTAGCCTTAAGGTCACCATAATTTGGAAACAACTTGAAGGCACACAACACCCACCCAATCATTTAAAAGGATGAAACTAACACATTACAGAAGTTAATTATTAAATAAATATAGCATTAAAGCATAATTTAAAAACAGCATAGTTCAAAACATTTAAAAAATAAAAACCATTGAAACATTACAACAGCACACTACACTACATAAGTAAAAATCACCCTCCAAAAGCCTGCCTGAATGAAAATGTCTTCAGCTGCCAGAGAAAAGAGAGCAGGGAGGGGGCCAACCTGATCTGCCATGGCAGGGAGTTCCACAGCCTGGGAGCAGCTCTCTCTTGAGTCACCAATTGTGCAAAGGTGGTGCAACTGAGAGAAAGCCCTCCCCTGCCACTCTTAGCATTCGGGCTGGCTTGTACAGGGAGATATGGTCCTTCAGACAGTCTTTCAGATGCCATAAAATCTCCCTTTCTGTTGATGGTACAAATTAAGATTGTCATTATCACCAGCAGCCTGGGAAGTAGTGTGATACTATTGTCCAAGGCCACCAATTATTCTGACTTTGTTTAATTCTCCCTCCCCTCAACAGTATTACTTTTGTTGTTAAGGAAGTAGTGTCAGTATGAGGGCACAAAAGGGAAGAACTATTAAAGAAGTACTGCAAGGTTTATAATTAACTTTTCTGCACAGAAGACACTGAAATCTTTTACTTTGCCATAAATGAGTATGTGTATGTTCTTTTTGTTTATAACATCCATTTCAAAGACATGGTTAGAACAAAGATCCTTTTCAATGAATGTACCTTTTTGCAACTGATAAGGGATTAGCAGCTAATTATTCCTGCTAATATCCCACCTGGAAACAACTTTCCAAAGGAAATATGCATTTCTCTGCTTAAACATTATGGACATTTTTAAGGACCAAAGGAAAGGAGGTATAAAAAATGAGCAGCAATGGCACAAATCATCTTTTTGCCTTGGATACACTAAATACTTAACAATGTGTTTTATATTAATGCCATGTTAATTTAACTGTGTTTCCTAGTAACTTGTCTTTGATGCATCGATACCACCACCACCACCCAAAAAAAAACAAAAAAAAAACCAAGCAGCAAACAAATCTCCAGACAGACACTGGCACAACATGCATGAAGACACAACAAAGAGTTATTATACCTAAGATTCTTATGTGTCAATTCCCTCAAGATCAATGAAAGTCATATCCACACATTGTAGGGTCAGAATTTTGACTGAAATATGTTACTGTAGCCAAGTTCAAAACTTTTGTTAAAAACTTGTTTAGCATTTTAAATATGTACTCGTTGTCTTACATATTTTTTTCCAAAAATGATATAAAGGAAATGCATACATCTCACTTAAAGAAAAGGATTTAGCAAAGCAGGTGCCTCTTGTTTTAATAAGTAGGTCACCAGCTGGGGGAAGGGTGTCTCCATCCACAAAGGAAGAGAGATTTGAGGTGGCAGCCACATCTTATTTGTACATAGTAGCCTTATCACAATGTTCAGATGCCTTAATCATCACAAGTGGCAGCAAAATCGTGCCTAGGGCTAAGGGACCCTTAGCTCACCAAGAACTTCAGCTGCATGGGTTTAAGAGCAAGACTTCACAGCTTCTGATAAAGCCCAATTTCCATTGAAATTGTCATGAGCGTAAAGAGCCAATACTAAGGAGTTTAGTTGCCTCTTTTTGTCTTTGCATCCTTTCATCAAAAAGAGATCTTCTAAGCTAGTACTTTGGTTTCCAGCTACACATTTCAGATCAATAAAAAGAGAAATAAGATCAATTTTCTTTTGATGCTCACCTAACTATGTGGACTTGCAAAAGCTGTGTTCCTGTAAGACAGCTGCATCTTTAAATCTCCCATATGTCTGATTTTATGCTCTGGTTTCCTTCTCCTGTCTCTTAGGTAAAATTAATTCAGTCTTCTAGCGCTATTGTTCTTAACTGCTACACAGGCCAAGTCTCAAAATCAGACAGTGGTAAGAGTCTGATTTTTAAGACACTTGAAAGTAATTTGAGAGAGACATTGCTTTGGATGTTATACAGAATAATCATGCCATACACTTTTCCTTTGTTCCACACCCCACTGCTGCTGATCAAACAATACAGAATCACACAAAACCAATGTTAAAAGTGGAATGAGTGTAACGCCATGGAGAGCAATTCCTCTTTCTCAGTGAACTCAGTTCTTTTTTTGCTGGGAGGTGGACGTAAGTACCATCAACTGTCCCCAAACTTTGTTTAGGGAAAACCTACTAACAAACTTAGAAAGAATTTACCAATCCATCTCATTTCTCTTTACTCGTACCCCCACAAGGTCTGCTACACAAGGGAACCATTAAACGCTGCAAGGAGAGAAGTATTTATGAGCCAATGTAAACTAGGCTCCCCGTGAATCTGTATTTGTATAGCACAGCCATCCAGGACTTCCCAGCAGTAGAAGTTCAGGAACATTTTCATAACAGCTAGCATGCTTATTTTTAGTATCCTCTTGGATACTTTCTGACCAAAAGGCTACAGTGAAATTATCCAGGCATACAGTTTGAGAGCACCCCTCTTCGGAGGAGGACAACGATCCTACGTACATACACAATGTGTAGCCACTGAAAGAAAACCATTTAAAATCACTGCAGAAATATGTCCTTCTGAAAATGAAAGTGAGCATGGCTGCTGTGGGGTGTGCGTGGCTAGATCAGTGGGGCTTAGTGCTACACACTCACTGCCTTGTATTCTGAATTACAAAGACCTATAACCACCTCTAGTTCTCTGCTGAAAATCACTAACAGAAACTGGAACCAATGGAGAGGGAGAAAACTTTTGACTATGACTCAATTACCTGGCTTGCAAAATGTCAGCATTAGAAAGTGGGTAACTAAAAACATGCCACAAGATCTTGAGTAGGTGTTATTTGGGAGGTTATTGTCTTCCTCCTGGACTGGTACCCTAGCACACCACTTGGAAATGTACAAAAGAAAACTAACCTGCTGTGGCATCTGCAAAAGTTCCCCAAGGCAGGAACTGTACCAACTGGGGGCTACCAACCAAGTTTATCTATTAATTTATTATATAAAGGATTGATATCCTATTTTCCTCCCACAATGGGATTCACAAGTTTTCATAATAGACGAGCTATAGCTGATGCTACCAATATGACAAAAGAGCCAGCTGGGTCTAGTGGTTTAAGCATTGGACTAAGACTCTGAAGACTAGGGTTCGAATCCCAGTTCAGCCATGGAAACCCACTGGGAGACTTTGGACAAGTCACAGCCTCAGAAGATGGCAATGACAAACCCCTTCTGATGAAACTTGCCAAGAAAAGCTCATGACAGCTCCGCCTTGGGTCTCCATAAGTCCGAAATGACTTGAAGGCACACAACTGGATCCAGTTGGACTGGATGGCCCTTGTGGTCTCTTCCAATTCTATGAGTCTATGATTCTATGAACTACCACAACTGCCACCAAACCAATAGGACACCCCAAAGCCCTGGCCACCTCCTGCTCCAAAGCCTTAATGATGCAGTTTCCAAAGATATTCACTGAAGACTCATCAGTCTCATTAAACATCTGATAGTAGACCTTCTTGGTCTCCCTTGTCCTCTTTGGGACAACAAGGGAGATCAAGAAAAACTCCTCCAGATAGATCATCCTGGCCCAGACAGTGGGAGAGCCCATCCCAGGGGCTGAGACCCCATTTATTCCAAATAATCCCTTTATTTCAAGATGCCTACTTAACAATCACCCTTCACACAAACCCGCTGGGCGAAAATCCAATTGTTAGTTCATCCCAGACAGATCAGACCCATTGAACCAAGAGGACTTAGGGCCTTTGCAGAC